CGCCGCCGCCGCCGCCCTCCCCGCGGCCGCCACTACTTCCTGCTTCTCTCCGCTTCGGCCTCCCCTCTCCCTCAGCTCCCTCCGCGCCCCGGGACCGGGCTGCCCGCTTTCATACTCGCCATTGGCCAACGGCCCCGTCCATCGGCTCTGAGCCCCGCCCACTCCCGCACGGGGTTGGCCCTCCATACCCAGCTCGGAACTGGCCCCTCATCGTCTCCTCACCGCGATTGGTCGAAGGGGCTGGGCTCTGTGGAGACGCCTCTCCTCATTGGCCACTCCGGAGTCCACCTGCCCCATCTGCGTAGCTCGGCGGCCATTGGCCACCGCCGCTGTCGCTTAAGACAGAGCCTGCCTTCGTCTCCGCTTTGGGACGCCGGCGGTGACCAGCCCAGAAGCGTGGCCGTCCCCGCTCTGTCGGCCGCTGGGCCGCGTGTGTGCGAACTTAGGGACTCGAGCGGTGTGGAGCCTCAGGGAATCTCGTCAGCCCCGAGTGGAACCCGGCTGTCTCAAGCGTTCGTGACGTTTCTTCAGGCTAAGCCGCGACCTCGAGGACGCGGTGTAGGGTTCACAAAATGGGGCGCCACCCCCAAACATTACGTCATCGGGGTGACCCTTCCCCTCGCGGTCCTCGCGGTGTCTGAACTGCGGTATGGTCCGGGTGGATGAGGTCCTCGCCTGGGCCAGCCTCCGGGCGTGCGGCTCCTCCCCCTCCCTCCGGGAGAGCCGCACGGGCCGCGGGATTCCGAGTGTCGGGCAAACCGGAACCCGGGACCCGGGACCTGGGACGCGCTGCGGACCGGAAGTGGGGGAGGTGACGTTGGGAGTGCTGGCGTGGCCTGGGCCACAGCCAAAGAGCTTAAGGTAGTGTGCTGATAGGCCCCTCAGACGGGAGAAGGCGGGAGCCCGCCTCTGTTTCCCCGCCCCCGGCACGAGCTGGCGTTCCTGTTGAGGTTGAGCTTTCCCGCGCTTTGCCGCCCCGCCCCCTGGAGGCGGGGAAGGGGGCGGGGTTGCCGGGGAGATGAATCGCCTTGACACTCTCCCATCTGCACGCTTTCGCGGGATCCATCTGCAAGCCCAGTGTGCCACCTGGCGCGCGCTCTACCGCCTGGCCTCGCGCCGCCGCCGCCCGCCGCGAACGCAGCCGCTCCAGACGGCAAGGGCTTTTAAAGATTGTGTGTTATTTTAACCCGCGTCCTCACCCTTTCCGTGCGAGCAACCCACCAACTTTGCGACGTGTCAAGTTTTGTGTTTGTTGTAGCGATACCGAGGAATGAACCTAGAGAGTCGCACACGCTAGGCAAATGCACTAAACGCTGAATCGATACCCTGTCTCTCATTTTTTGAGATCGGCTTTTCAGCAAGGTTGTCCTGCCTGCCTAGTAACTGGGGCTACACTGCTGCGCCACCAGGCCCAGAGTTTTGGTAAAGCTTTTAAAAGGAGGCACAACCTTCCCTTGTGCCTCCTAGCATTGGTCTCAGAAATCTCAGGCGCCGCCTGGGAGCTTGTGACTATTAAGGCTACAACGGGAATCTTGGAACCACCACATTCCACATGATGGCATTAGGCAAGTCTTTCTACCTCCCTGAACCTATTGTCTCATGAAAAAATAAAAATGGAAATTATAATATCCACCTGCCAAGATTAGTTTTGCAAGGATGAAAAGCTTGGAATGCAGAGGTCCTATTTATAAAATAATAACAAGCAGATGAATGGAGCCTCCACCTCACCGGCCATCTTTCTCTGCAGGGGCCACAGCTCACAGTATTCCTCTCCGAGTAACTAACTGAGAGTTCTTTACTGGAGAACTAAGGTTGTGGCTCAGCTGGTGTTTGATAAATACAAAGTGCTTGTGTTTGATAAACCTAGGATGGTGGCTCATACTTATAACCCCAGCATTCGGGAGGTGGAGGCAGGAGTATCAAATTCAAAGCTAGCCTTGGCTACTTAGGGAGTCTGATGCCAACTTGGAATTCATGAAACTCTTGAGTCCAACAGGAAAAGAAAGCCCCCTACTGGATGTAGCCATCTGCATTCCATTCCCACATCCTCCTCTGGGTCTCCCTATAGGGTTAATAATTACTACTCACATACATGTATTATCATTAGAATGTCATGTCAACTCATCTGATCCTTACCACAATTATTGTGTCCATTTCACTGAGAGGGAAACAAGCACAGGCAGGCTAGAATAACTGACGGACACAAAGTCAGAAGCCCTGAAATTGAAATTTGAGAGCCCAGAAAGGTAAATGCTAAATTACAGATTCCCTTGCCAAGAGAGTTCTGGTTACAAGTTTGTTCTTCAATTAGATGTATTAGTCATATGTTTAGGAAATACTTTTCAAACTGGGTGTAGTGGTAGAAATCTTGTAATCCCAACACCTGGGAGGGGCAGGAGGAGCAGGAGTTCAAGGCTACATAGCAAGTCCCAGATTGTATAAGTTACTTTCTGTTGCTGTGGTAAAACACCATGATCGTGACAAATTTAGAGAGATTATTTGGGCTTACCGTTCCAGAGAGTTAGCATATGACAGCAGCAAGTGGCAGGCATAGAAGGCAGGAACAGAAACTGAAAGGTCACATCTTGATCCACAGGCAGGAAACAGAAAGGGAACTGGGAATGGTATGAGTCTTTAAACCCTCAAATCCTACCCCCGGTGACATACTTCATCCAAGAAGACCACACTTCCTGAGCCTCCCAAACATCTCTATCAAGTGGGGAATCAAAAATTCAAGTGCCTGAGAATGGCATGAGATCCTGTGACCAAAATGAGAGAGAAAGAGGAGATAAATATTTTAATTCAGCTAATATTTCATAAGCACCATTTGTGAGTTAAGCACTAATTAGGGCACTAGAGCTACAGCAATGAACACGGTAGACAAGGGTCTCTGGAGGGCACTAGAGATACAGCAGGGTCTCTAGCGTGTTGGAGCTGGATAGAGAGCTCAGCAGTTAAGAGCACTGGCTGCCTTTGCAGAAGACAAAGGTCAGTTCCCAGCATCCACATGGATACTCACAACCATCTGTAATTCAAAACCCAGGAGTTCTGACACCTTCTTGTGGTCTCCCACAGGCACCGTATATGTGGTACAAAGAATGTACATGTTGTACATTCAGGCAAACATCCATAAACATAAAATGAAAGAAAAAAATACAGCCCCTGGTGTGACCTGGGCATTCTTACAAATCTGAGGTCTCAGCACTCCAATGGCTGAGACAAGCAGGCTCACTTGAACCCAGTTGTCCTATCCAGCCTGGTCAACCTAGTAAGGCCCTGTGGCTAAAGTAATAAGTAAAATAGGTAGAAGCACATTAGAAACGAAATTTGTCAGAAGAAGGGGTGAGTGTCAAGGCAGTGAACACTCAGGAGTTCCTTTAAATGCACATTGCCTTCAATAATTGAACCAATCAGAAGGAACCTACTGTGTAGCTCAAACTATAAGACTCCAGACAAGGCAAAACAACAGGGACAACAATAAATCAGTGGCTGCCAAGGGCTTGGGTGGAGGGACTGATGACTAGATAGTGCACAGGGGACTTTATAGCACTGAAACTCCTAGGTAAAACACTATAATAATAGACACATGACATTCTGCATTGGCCAAAATCCATAGGCAAGGCTTAATAGAAATTAATTAGTTAATTCTAGTTAATAATAATGCATTGATATATAGGGCAAAAAAAATGACTCAGCAGTTAAGAGCACTGGCAGCTCTTCGAGAGGACCTGGGTTCAATTCCCAGCACCCACATGGCAGCTCACAACTGTCTGTCACTCCTGTTCCAGGGGATCTGACACCTTGACACAGACATACATGCAGGCAAAACACCAATGAACATAATATAATAGATAACTCATTATAATAATAATGCATCAATATGGTTGATCAGGTCAAAGAAATATACAATGATTAAAGACAATAATGGAAATTGATGAGAGGGAATATATGGGTATTATCTGTATTTTTTGCCCAACTTTTCTATAAACATCTCTAAGTAAAGTATATTAAGAAAACAAAATTTC